AATAGTGTATTTTTGATGTTGCTTCAATTGCCTGGGGTGTTCTCCTCATAAAATGTTCACCCAGGCTGGTTTCTTCGAGTGTTTTCCCTACACTTTTTATGTAATTTTATATTTCCATATTATGTTCACAGTGGTAATTTTGTTTGTAATGTAGACATTGAAAAGTCACATGAGAATCCATACAAAGCAAACTGTTTAACATTTGCTGTTTAACAAACTGTTTAACATTAACAATAAAAGCGGCTATAAAACATTTTTATTCTCAGTCAGAAGAACTGACAGAATTTTTAAGGTTGAATATGAGGCAGGTTTTGACATCCAAGTCAGTTAACATAATATATTGTTTTGCCTTTGTCATATTGTAACTGGCCATGAAGTTTTTCTACATTATTGTGTGCCTTTCTCATATGCTGTAAATATCTGATTAATCAGTCTTAAACACGTGTATTATACTATCTCTACTACTTTTTCATTCTTAAAATTAACCTTAAATATTCACCCTGACTTGTAAATGTTCATATCCTCTCTGTTGCTTGCAAATTTTTTAGGTCTGGAAGAGTTTAATGTGTCAGAACTGTCTTATCAATTCCTTTAACTTCATGATCATGTTTTTTTCTAGGTTGATATTTTATAATCCATTATGTTACCCAATTTGTTCTTCTACTTATATTCTCTAGTGGATAAATGACTTTAATATGCTTGAGTTTTTTAGATTGTTGTATCCAAAGTGTCATTGAATATCTGAATTTGACATCCTATTGCCCCACTAAGAGGAGAATGCTTCTTTACAACTGAGAGACATTTAAGTCATGTGCTAATTCAACTCATCATGGTTGAGAAAAGCCTTCACCTAACATAATTTTGATTTCCTTCTTTAGGAATCTGAAATCATGGATCACCCACATATGCTTTGAGACGTGCTTTAGATTTTTTTCTTGAAGCCTTGCGACTTCTGTAAAAATTGAATGTTTTGTAGAACAGACCTATGGTAAGTGAGCTTTTTCCTCCTTTTTCTTTTGTCAGTTTCATGTTCATGTAAAGTCTTATGATTGTTGCAATGCTGCTCTCTGCTGGACACAGTGTAATTTTCCAAAGTTAGCACTTAGTAGATAGGCAGATAATTGATTAGCTGGACCCTCCTTGGCTGAATTCACAAAAAACCAACCAGTGTGCAACAAAAACAACTGTTATAATGGTGCTGTGCTATTACCATGTAGGTATCTAGAGCCTGATGAAAGTCTTACTTATAAATTTCATCTTCTGTTTCCTGTTTAGTGCCATCTAAAAGTTATAACAAACATACTTTGAAGGGTAATAATAGGTGGAGGCCTTTTTAGGATTTCCTAAATTGTGTGGTTTTGGGGATGTAAGTCTATTTACTCTTACTATTATGTCTTTGAAAATAATTTCAATTCTCTGTACTTTGTTTTCCCAAAGGGAATATTTAAAACCACTCTAGTATAACTTACATTAAACATTGTTGCATATATTTTGAATGAATCATCCTATGTTATATTTTATATAGCGCATGTTATTTTTTTTCTGATTTTTTTATCTTTTTTAGAGACAAGGTCTTGCTCTTGCTCAGGCAGGTCTTGAACTCCTGAGCTGAAGCAATACACCTGCCTCAGCCTCCCAGAGAGCTAGGATCACATGTACAGTGTACTTTAAATGTGACTTGTTTTGTGTACCTATCCTATAATCTAGCTATTATGTTTTCTAGTATACACATTGAATCTTACTTAAACAGAATGACACTGGGTGGACTTTAACTATAGTGTCTGTGACTCATCTATCATGGTTTTTCACATTATATGTGTATACAGGTGCTCCCAAAATTGTTTTATAATATGTGAGAGTTAAAATGGTATGTCCTCCTACCTTTGAGCTAAAATATTCTAATTTCTGAAATACAGCATGTATACAGTTATTACCTGAATGTCTTTTGGATTTTTTTTAAGTAAGCATACATTTTCTTGTGAAGAAGAAAAAATGACAGAAATGACATTGAGTGGCTAAATGGAGATCTAACAAGATAACTGATCTTACACTCTTTAAAAGACTTTTATTTTGTGTGTGTGTTTTGTTTTTATTTTATAGCCATTGGGAAAGCCTGTGAAATCTACTCTTAATTAGGTTTGTAGACAATTAGGCTTAGAAACTTATTTCTTTATTATTAAAATATTACAACAAAAAGAAGAAATGTAGACCAAGAAAATAAAATTGTTAGTAAAAAGAACACTTTCTTCTCTATAACAGTATATTAGTATTAGTTCAGAAATTACATAATTTTCAACTTTTTTGTTATAAAATGTAACATGATATAGAAACATAAATGTATAATACAATGAATAATTGTATATTAAATATATAGCAAATATCCACACAACCACAGAACATTATTCTCTATATAATTTTTTCAATTTTATGTGTATTCTTAACCCTGTGAATTCCTTCCTCCTTTACTCAACATTATATTGAGTATCCTTGTAATTGCATATAGTCTTATTGTATTCATTTTCATGATAATATATTATTCCTTTGAAATAAACATCCCAGAATTTTTTTTTTTTTTTGGCAAGGGCCGGGCTTGAACCCATCACTCCCGGTATGTGGGGCTGGCGCCATACTCCTTGAACCACAGGCACCACCCCCAACATCCCAGAATTTAGTCATCCATTCTACTGTTAGTAGATGGTTGGGTTGTTTCTGGTGTTTGGTTATTATATGTGATATTGCCATGAATGTGTTTATACAAATATCCTGGTTATATAAATATTTTTTAATCTGTCAGGTGGCAAGCAATTTATTTTTAGGTTAGAAAATATTTAATATCACAAGGCAATTGAGTATAGTGGTATTTTAAGTGAATTTACATGACTGCATGAGAAATTTGTTATATCACTGTAGTATCAAATATTATGTTAGAAAAAACTCTGAAGTGATTATAATTTCTTTTACCTTAAATAGACAGTAAAGTGACATATAGTTTGAGATAGTTTAAATATAGACTATATATAGATAGATCTAGATCTAAATATAGTGTAGGTATAGATAGAGGACTAATGAAGTAACTCTGTTTATTAACAAGTTATACTTTCTATAATTCTTTCACTTTACTGATAAAGAAATGAGGAAGGCTAGAGAGATTGAGTCACTTAAACAAGGTCAGTTACAAGTTAGAGCTAGCAACCAGACTAACCTGTCTACTTGGCACTCACAACTTAAAGTAAACAAAGTGAAATCAGGACATATTCTCGCTTGTTTCCAGTCATTTAAGTGGAAATTTGGCTGAATGATTGATAGCTTTCAGAAATTAACAGATAATTCTTTCAGGAACTAACCAAGAACTGGCTTAGCACAGGAAGTTAGTTGAGTAAAGCACCCAAAACGTTATTGTACCTTATCACAGTTCATCTTTCGAATGGTATATACTAATGGTATATACTAATATATACATATATATACATGATATATACTAATTTTAACGTGAGAAATTTGAATTTGAGTGCTTCCTCATTCATTGGAAATATTTACATCTCTTAAACAGAATATATTTTAGGGCTTTTTTTTTAATGCCTCAGAGTTGTCATTGTGAACATTAATCATTTTATGGAATTAAAGTGATTGCCTCAGAACTGTTACTCTAGTTGGACTGTTTTCTCTTAAATTGTCCTAGCCTGATAAGCTTTTGTGTCTTTAGAGCTACTGTGATTTGTTTTGTTTTATTTTACTTTTCTTAGGTAATTCTTGCCTTTTGTTGTCAGTATATTCTATTAACTTATATTTGAAACAAAAGCATTTGCCTAACATTATATATTACTTAGATGAAATCTTAAGTATGGTTCTTCCCCCATCTACTGATTCCAGGGGCATAGTATGGAGACAGTTTTTGAAATTTTATTTTGGTGTCAGGAACTAGTTTTGCCATTGTTTCAGGGTATTGAGATCATATCATTATTGATTTCTGTACTACTAAAATGCAATATAGGTTATGTATATACTGGTGTGTCCTTATTTGGGGAATAAAAATGATCATTTACATGTTTTCTAACAAAACCATTATAGTCATACTCTTTTGAATGGTATGGATTTATTCAAGGATTACTTCAAATAGAAAGTGCAATGGATTTAAGTGTTTGTTTTCTAAGATTAAATATTTGATAGGATGAGCATTAAAATAAAAATAGTGTATTAGGTGACACTGCCTTTTGAAAATGACAGGCATAAAGATTGAATCACCTTTGAAGTTGTAGCTTTTTAAATTTTTTTTTATTTTTTTGAGACAGACTCTCACTTTGTTGCCCTCCATAGAGTGCCACAGCTCACAGCAACCTCAAACTCTTGGGATTAAGTGATTCTTTTGCTTCAGCCTCCTGAGTAGCTGGGACTACAGGCTCTTGCCACAACATCTGGCTATTTTTTTGTTGCAGTTGTCATTGTTGTTTAGCTAACCTGGGCTAGGTTTGAACCTGACTTGCATTGGTGTATGTGGCTGGCACCATACCCACTGAGCTATGGGTGCTACCTGAAGTTGTAGCTTTTAAAGAAACATAAGTATAGAAGTTAGACAGATTTGATTTCAGGAAAACATTTAAATATTTCAAGAAAACATTCTTTTAAAAGTGAATTTCATCCAGGTGCTGTGGCTCATGCCTATAATCCTAGTACTTTGGGAGGCTGAGGCAGGAGTATTACTCAAGGCCAGGAGCCATCCTTAGCAACATAGTGAGACCCTCTCTCTACAAAAAAATAGAAACATTAGTGGGGCATGGTGGCATACTCCTATAGTCTCAGCCTAGTATGGAGGCTGAGGCAGGAGGATCACTTGAGCCTTGGTGTTTGAGATCTAGTGAGCTATGATCATGCCACTGCACTCTAGCCTGGGCAACAGAATGAGACCTTGTGTCCAAAAAAAAGAAAGAAAGGAAAAAAGGTAGGGGCATTTGACTGCTTACCCAATTATAAAGTATTAAATGTGAATTTAAAACAAAACAAAAGTGGAGTAGAGAGTGTATTTGTCTTTAGATCACAGAAGATATTGGGAAGACAGATAGACAATTGCTACCCTAGCACATGTAGGTGTCAAAATGATGATTTGCTGTGTTGAGGAGTTTCTTTAATTTGAAAATTTATTTGCTTTTAAGCATACTAAGTTAACATATTTTTAGGCAACAAATTTTATGTTTGCATTTGGGCAAAATAAATAAGAGCTTCATGTGGTTTATCGCAGACAGCACATCTTTGAAAATTGCCTTATGGACAGACTTTTTGAAGGCTCAAAAAGAAGAATGGCTTTTTCCAGAATAAATTTGAGATGCTTATAGGGTGGAAGGGAAAAAATAATGAAACTCCAGGGAAAGCTATTTGGCAATTTCTAGAAAAAGACCTATGCATTTTCCTGTTGTCATAGTACCAATTCTGGAAATTTTATCACAGAAATTCTTATGTACTTACAAAATTGTTCGTTATAACTTTGTTTGTGGTAGGAAAAGATTGGAAATTCCCTAATGTGTATCAGTAGGGTGGCTGGTTGAATGAACTGAGGCGTATTTATACAGTGAAATACTCTACAGCTGTTAAACATGTTTTCTATGTACAGATTTGGAAAGCTTTCTCATATATGTTGTTATTTGGAAAAAAACATGGTAAACTACTTAGGAAGAGGGGAATAAAATTGCACATTTGTATTTGCTTATGCTTACATGAATAAAATCTGGAAGAACATAAAAAATTCAAATCCTGTGTGAAGGTTAGAGGAAAACAGGGTGGATGGAATTTTTACTGTGTATCATTTAGATCTTTAACCATTTGAATATGTTAATATATTACTAATTAAAAATAATATTATTTTATTTGTAAATCAAATGAGAGTGAAAGGGCTAAGCTTGCTTTTTTATTTTTACCACAAAATTAGCCATTTTTATTATTTTATCTGTAGAACATAGTAGATAGTAAGCAATAGATGATACTTGTTATACAATGAAA